TTTTTTTGATTTGGGTAGCTCGACGAGATCTACGCAGCTGCAAACTGCCGAAGGCGGTTTGGCCGCCCGAATTTTCGAAAAAATGCCTTTTTTCTTGCTTTAATTTCATTTTTAAGAAAAAATACGTTTTTTGTATTTTTAAACATCTATATCTCCCCAATCAAGACTCATTTTCGAAGTTTTTTTATCCATAACAATGCTCTCAACTTTTATTTTATGTACCAATTGGAAAAAATTAGAAAATGCATAGTTTCTGCAGTTGCTATGTTAGTTGTCTGATGCTGCTAGGTTAGTTGTCTGATTGTGCTAGGTTAGTTGTCTGATTGTGCAAGGTTAGTGTCCGCATTTTAAGAGCTGGCCTCATTTTAAGAGTTGGCCTCATTTGATCCGCCCCCTATATATATATATATATATATATAAATAAATTCATAACAAATGCTATATATTTTGTCTCACGTTGTCTCACGTTGTCATTTTTTTTTTCTACAATCATATTATACCCTTATAATAGATTATTATTATTATTATTATTATTATTATTATTATTATTATTATTATTATTATTATTATTATTATTATTATTATTATTATTATTATTATTTTCTAACAAAAATCAAATGTTCATTACTCACATACACAATTATCAATTAAACTTCTATTACATTTTTTTTATCAGTTTACTCTGATCATTATATTATATGTCATGTGTTCACAATTTCAGATTTCTCTCAATTTATGTAAAAATTAAAAATTTAACTTTTCACGAGATAAAAATTTTAAGAAAAAATTATATTCGCACACTCTAAAAAGAGCGGGAAAAAATTTTAATTCGTTGATTTATGTGGAAAAATGTATGCACACCCAAATTTATTGTTGTATATCGGAACCCACCATCTACAATTCAATATAAATCATGTATAATGCTAATATTAGAGAGATTAATACAAGGTACTTAGAAAATTTGAAGTTAGGAGTAATTATAAATTCAATAATACCAGCTATAAAATTACTCCTAACTTCAAATCTTAAAGGTGCACTTGGTAAGCTAGGTTCGAATGAAGGTAAAAAATTCAACAAGTCTTGTTTGATTGATAAAGCGAACTAAACTCAATTTCGTTTAAATCTTATCAAGTTAATGAGTAGGGCTAGCTTGATTGGGCTCGAATTCATTTAAAGCTTCTTTAATTAACGAGACGGACCAAGCCGACTTACTAAATAAGTAAATCTATATGTAATATTCTATGATTTCACTCGTTAAAACTCGAGTTCGGCTATTTAGATGGCGGAGAGTTCGTTTGTCCACTTTCCTCCAAGTTCCCATCTTTTCTTCAATCCTTTCCCTCACCGCCGATTGTATACAACTATCACCTCTCTCTCTCAGCCACGGGAAAGCGCCGTCTGCCGCCTCTGCACGGCGATCACAACCATCAGCCGCCTGTGTCTATCTCCTATTGGCCGTCACTATCCTCGCCACCTCTCCCAGAAATCTCATACTTTTGATAACCCTAGCAGCTGGTAAGTCTCTGTTTATTTCAGTTTACCTTTTATTCTTACTTTAATTCATCCATCAATACTTCTGTGAGTGAGTCTATGATCGTGTGGACGATTGTGGCTTTGTGTTGTCGTTGGGCATCATATAAAGATCGGCTTTTAATTATTCATCGTCTACCTGTCCTTCTGAAATGAGTGTGTGTGTGTGTGTGTGTGTGTTCGAGAGAGAGAGAGAGAGAGAGAGAGAGAGAGAGAGAGAGAGATTTGGTTCATTGTAGACAATGTTCCTAGCTTAATCACAAGGAAATGACATTCTCCCCGTTCACTGTATTTCTTTTGATAATTTCTGAACTACATGGCACCGTTTAGTACCAAACCTTTGGATCCACCTTGAATCTTCAAGTTAATGGTTTCACCTTTATTCTTTAATTATTAAGCTTCTCAGTCCCTGTTTCTGCATTGTACCATGGTGTGATGCCATTGTTGAAGTATTGAAGAGTAGTTAATGAATTTTGGGATATTATTTTGCACATAATTGACAGGAAAGATGCGTTTGAGAGCCATGCTCCAGCCCGTTTTTAGTGGGCTTCCCTGTTTGACAGTGTTGCCCCCAACTGTAATTCGTCGTAGATTTTAGTTTGATAAACTGCAGGTTTCATGGTGATCTGTCTGTTCAATTTTATATTACCTATTTTTTCTTTTTCTTTCTTTATTTTTTTTCTTTTGCTAAAAGAAATTGATGGCTTATGTTTTAACTCTGACCAGGAAGCACTATGGGAAAGAAAAAATCCGATGAAGCTGCTACTGGTACAAAGTCTAAGCAGAGTGGTAAAGAGAAGCTCTCAGTGTCTGCAATGCTTGCCAGCATGGACTCGAAGCCTGATAAGCCAAAGAAAGGACCAACTTTTAGTAAACTAAAACCCAAAGCTGCACCGAAAGTCTCGTCTTATACAGATGGGATCGACCTTCCGTCCTCTGATGAGGAGGAAGATGACGTGTTGGGCTCTGAGGAAGAGCAAAAGCAGTATGATACCCATAGAAACCCTGCTCGGCAGACTAGAACTGATGCGAGGCCCCTCGATATTAACATTAGCAACAAAGAGTTGAAAAAACGAGAAAAGAAGGATCTGTTTGCTAATCAGGCTGCTGAGCTGGCGAAGCAGGAGGCCCTCAGGGATGACCGTGATGCATTTACTGTGGTAATTGGTAGTCGAGCTTCTGTTCTTGATGGTGAGGATGAAGCCGATGCGAATGTCAAAGATATAACTATCGATAACTTCTCCGTGTCCGCTCGTGGGAAGGAGCTCTTGAAGAATGCATCGGTTAAAATTTCCCACGGGAAGAGATATGGGCTGGTTGGGCCTAACGGTAAGGGTAAGTCTACCTTGCTGAAGCTTCTCGCTTGGAGGAAAATACCCGTGCCTAAAAACATTGATGTGCTTTTGGTCGAGCAAGAGGTTGTCGGTGATGACCGAACGGCACTTGAAGCAGTTGTTTCCGCCAATGAAGAACTAATTAAGCTTCGACAAGAAGTCGCGTCCTTGCAGGATGATGCATCGAATGTGCCAGCTGGCGAAGAAGAAGATGATGACGAGGATGATGATGTGGGCGAGAAGCTTTCGGAACTTTACGAGAAGTTGCAGTTGATGGGTTCGGATGCTGCCGAGGCTCAAGCCTCGAAGATTCTTGCCGGCTTGGGTTTTACTAAAGACATGCAGATCCGTGCCACACGGTCCTTCAGTGGCGGTTGGAGAATGAGGATTTCATTGGCTCGAGCACTTTTTGTTCAGCCGACTCTTTTGCTTCTAGACGAACCTACCAATCATCTGGACCTCGGGCCGTTCTGTGGCTAGAAGAGTACTTGTGCAGATGGAAGAAGACTCTAGTGGTT